ATCTTTTGTGAAACTTAATATGAAATAAGTTCAAAAATTTTAAACAGTAATGTCTATATTATACTAAATGTCAATTTATTTTTGGCTCCTGATGTATTTAGGCGAACCTAAAAAAATTTACTCATACTGTATAGGTGAGTTTATTTAAGGAAATCTTTTTGGGATATTGAAGTATTGATTTAACTTATTTTAAAACTTTAAATGCTTATTTTTTTTTAGATAATTCACATTTTATAGAAATAATAATAACGCGTTTGTAGTCTACATAGACATATTTTACATTTCTTTGTAAAACATATATCTTTGTATGTTTGCTGTTTGTATATATGTGACATAAAAGCTACAATGAACATAACAATTACATAAGAAAAAATCCTGAAGTGGGTAAGTTTTGAAATCGAAATAGTCATATCTGATTAAAATACACCACATCATAATATATCAGTTAAGCCATCCATTCCATGTCAAATTATGAACTGAGAACCAGCGACGTAGTCGATGATCAACTATTTCTATTTCGACCTAAATTCTATCAATATAATACGTTTAAATTCACTAATAATAAAACAAATTAAAACAAAGAAGCCGAATTAAATAATGACTAAAATAAATTTTTAATGTTTTAAAAATATTCTTCACTTTTTACGTTCTCGTTCCAATGGTTTCAAAACTTGAAATTTCCCTTTCAAAATTTTAAATAGAGCGCGATTTTGTTCATATATTTGAATTGCAATCCGCAAGCAAATTAAGAAACAAACTCTTCTGCATTTCAGCATTTAAGTTAATTTGATTTTTTTTAATAGCTCAAAAAAGTTATACCACACCTCAATTTAAGCCGTAAAAATTCTTTTAAAAATCTTTAAAAGTATAGGAGTTGAAATTTTTAGTCATTCAACGAACTTTATCAATACGTCAATGAAGTGCATCTTTCGGTTTTAAACCTTTACTCTTTAAAGGAAAAAAGACTTCAAAAAACAACACAGAAAAACAGGGAATAAAAAGGTAAAAATGATTTTACACTTAAGTATTATTTCCTAAATTAATCTATCTAATAATAATTAATTCTAAATATATTAAAAAATTTACTATTCATGTAATTTAAATAGTAGGATCATGAAAACTTTGAGATAAAAAACGAATAACTTAAATCTGTTAAGAAATATTCACAAATCAGGGGAACATACATTTAAAAAAAAACCAACAATTTGATAACGTTATCCTCTTTTACATACATCTCATGTATTATTATCATTACTTTGTGTATATTACTAACTTTCCGCCCGCAGCATCGCACGCGCGGAGTTCGGTTATATCACGTTTTCAAGGGAACCTTTTAAAAGTCTGGGATAAAAACTATCCTATTTTCTTTCTCACGGTCAAAACTATCTCTTTACCATATTTCATTAAAAACAGTTCAGTGGTTTAGGCTTGAAAGCGTAACAGACAGACAGAGATACTTTCGCATTTATAATATTAACAGGGATTGATCCATACATATTTATCGGATTTTTCTCAATTTTCCCAGGATTCCATAATCAAAATCAGGATTTATTGTAATCATCAGGACCATATTTTGTGAAGTTTACATACTTAATGCTAATTATAGACTTTTATGATTTTCTCATGATTGTAATGGGCAGAACTGGACAAAACTGAAATGAAATCAAAAGGGACATCAGCTTTCAACAAAGAAAAAACATCAAAATCGCTTCGCCCAAGCGAAGGTTATTAGATAAATAAATATTTAATAAATAAAAATACAGACGAATTAATAACTACCTTTTTTTAAATCACTTGAAAATTTGTTACCATAATTGACTGGCTCACAATTCTATTATTAAAAAAGTCGGTTCATTAGTTTCGACCTTACCTAAAATTAGCAGTCATATATTAATACAGTATAAACTTTATTGTTTGGTTGGAGTGACGGAATCTTCTATGATTATATAACTTTTTTGTACAAATGTCTATGGGTACTTTAAAGAGCTTGTTGTGGTTTATAATTCTGAATTCGAACCCACCCCGTTTCGTAAGCCTGCTCACACAACTTAAGTCTGAACTTAGATTTTGTTTACTTCTCTTTTTTTAATATTTGTATTTCTCTTTTTATTTAATAAAGCAATTCATAATAAACGAATAATTAAACAAATACGACCGTTTTTTCAAACAACCAAGTAAGGGATCCACAACGTAACAAATATTCGTATGTATATACATACATTAATAAACTTATTACCCGTATTGCATCGTCCGGTTAGGTGAAGCTCAGTTATTGGAAATCTCAGAGTAATAAATATAGATAATAAGAGCTCCGATGGTGTAGAAAGCGAGCAATTAAGATCCAATATCACATTTATTTTTACTGAACTAATCCTGTCAAGTTTGCACGACCTATATAAAGGCTATCAGGTTGATTTCAAATTAATTACGTATATCACAGATTAAACTATGATTTTTCAAAAAATGTTATGATATTTTTTAATATGAACATATATTATATATTATAACATATAAATCAGTAAGCAGTAGGTACAGTAAATCATGTACGTATATAAATAGTCATAAAAATCTGTTGCATCCATAACACGTATAAGATTACATAATATTTATAGTTTATTTGTACTCTAAAAACATAAATAAAATGCTACACTAAGGAACTGGAACATATATTTTCTATCGATACTCGGAAATAGCTGTACTGATATAAAAATAAGAAGAGATAAAAGAAGCGATTTCATTTGATCAATGATTAGGATATATCTCGAAAACTAAAAGTTCATATTTATAATGTGTGAGTCTTGGCTTGTGATCTTCAGCTACATTTATTGAATATATTTTTCCTTTAACTCTTTAACCGTGTTGATATTTTTGTATAAAAATATAATACGAATTGCACGTTGGAAAAATATTATCAAAGTATTTGTGCCATTCTGTTTTTATTCCAAATTTTCAATTTGAGACTTTGAAGTTGTTTTGTGTTTGTTTTATAATAAACTTTATTAATTCGCTTAATAAGTCAATGAAAATGCTGAGAAATTTATGACCTTTTACTAAAGCAGTATATGAGTTATATTAATCATTGGGTATAAAGTCAATAGTGCAAAAGTTTAAGTTTTGAACTTAGCCATATGAGTCTTAGCCACTTTAAAAGTTAGGGCAGTTGAAGTGAAAAATAGTCTAATATATTTCTAGTTAGTTTAAAAATAATCCTCATTTCTTTTAGAGTTTTTCTCTTTTAAAATATTCAAACACTTGAGTATTTGGTTTTACTTCACATATTTCTCTTATCTATTAGGATGCTGATTAGCTTAAAATATTAATTGTAAACATTTTTTTTATGTAAAGAGACAATCTTTCTGCTTTAAATTATTCCAAATAATTTGAAACTCCACAAAAAATATATCTTCATAAAGATAACAACATACTGTTTTCGTATAGTCTTCTAATATTAATGTATATTTGAATTGAATTAATTTATTATTTATTTAATATAAAGATTTTTTTACATTTTAACGCAGCACAAGATGAGAATATATTTTTCATGGAATACCTAACAACCTTTTTTAGAATATGTATCTCGTGGCCAAAACAGATTATCTAATGTTAAACGTTAGTTTAGAAATGAAGAGTTCGTCAAAGCTTCTACATGATTGTTTAAGTGTAAAATTAATAAAATGTTATTCATAAAAACCTTTTAAGAATATGACAAAATAAGAATAGGTATATGAATAAATTACAATTTCATTGATTCCATTTTAAAACAACTTTGACGTATAAATTATTATTGACTAGTTTTTGCCCCGCGACTTCGTCCGCGTTAGTTTGATCAAGAATAATATATGTAGGTATAGCTGACCAGGCGAACTCTATTCCGTCTTACAGGCCATAAATAATCAGGTTTTTCCTGTTTCAATCAAACAGAATGATTGACATATTAGTTAGTTGTCAAATCTAATGTCAAAAAAAACGTTTGTATGGGAAATAGAAAAGGGCTGTTTTAGGAGTTTCCCGGCAAATATTCAAATTTTTCTCACCTTTTATACCTTCCCTGAACCTCCACGAACATTTCAAGACTAAGATAAGATAAATCCGTTCAGTCGTTCTCGAGTTTTAGCGAGACTAAGGAACAGCAATCCATTTTTATATATATAGAAGATAATGTTTTTATTAACACCAAACAGTTTTTATTATTACAACATTTTAATTTTTTTTAACGGTAGTTTTTAGATGTCTGATATTTTTTATGATCAAAATGAAAAAAATCTTCTATAATTGAAATGTTTGACTTTTTGACTTGATGCTTTAGAAGAAACTTAAACTATAATGAATATATATATAGAATGTTATATTTTCACAGCACATTATAAATTATATAGTTACGTTAAAAATTAAGATAACAAAAGCATCTCACACGTACGCTATACTTTATACACAATATATTATTCCAAAAGTTTTGTTATCATTCTAAAACATTTTTTCTAGTGCATTACTGTCATGCCAACATCTCTTGGAATTTAAAAAAAAAAGGTCTGTGAGCGTTAAAATACAACTGGTAAGTTTTTTAAGAGTTGCATGTTAAAAATATATTTTTGCTTTTAATTAGATATTATACTATCTTTATTTTGTTCGATGAAATAAATTTGGTTTATAATTTAAATATACAATAGTACATTTATTATAATGGTTAGATTTTTTATTGCTAAGCATATTTAAATCATCGAAAAATTATTATTTTTTACCATTATTCTGATCACTATTTTAATTACCTCTACAAAACCTATCAAACGAGTTAACACGTGTCTTTGAAGTCAATGAACTTAACTACAAAAATAAATTTTACTATTCGAAGTACACGAAACATGGAAAATTATTTAATCTTTAAAACCATAATTTCAATGTTCTAGAAACAAACTTAATTTATATTGCAAGGGAAGGTAAATAGAACTATGTGATTATATTTATAATTTAATTCTATTTTAACTTAAACCTTATAAATATTCTTATACATGAGGTGGTAAAGGTAATCCTTCTGGTCGTTGGCAAGTGAAAGCTCCACATCTATTCGGGCAGCACTTAAGTGTCCGGGGACAATCAGAGTCTCCAGTACACGTATGACTGCATATCCAAACCCCCCGGGGATATTCGGGGCAATTACCTGGTTTCTCTGGAAGAATATTTGAAATTCACATAAATATTTGATAATAAAACTTATTATTACACTACTAACAACAGTGAAGTTGTGAACTCAAAAGTAGTTATGGTTAGGTTATATAGGTAACTACAAGTCAAGAAAACAAAAAAATATTTGAAAAAAATTGGTTTAGTATGCAGAGATTTTAATTAATACAATGAAATAAAAGTCTGACGCAATTTAATATTCAAAGAAAATAATTGTACCCTTTTATAATAGATAAAAAATTTATAGAAATCCGAGCGCTAGAACCTTCAAAGGTAATCCAATAGCACGGTGAGTTAGATTAATGGTTGTAATATTTATAGCAGCCGTCGATATTGAGCGTAACAGGAAACGACATTATTACACCATAAACAATATATATAATTAATGAATTATTGGGATTCCATTACTTAAGGTAATTTCAATACAAATTATACAGTATAATTACGAGATATTCTAGATCTTTCGATAATCTTGTGTTTTGATCTGTGTGTCTTAATCGGGAACAACGGCACATAAATTGAAGATAATAGATATCTTAAGAAATATATAGCATCAACCGTATAAGTTAAAATTATATATATATAACTTTAATTAAAAATTTTCCCAGTAGTATTCGAAATCTCTGAAATTTTATGATTATGTCTTATTTAAAATAACTTATATTAATGTAAATTAAGTACTTTAAAATCACAAAAAACAATGACTTTTTATGGTGATTTTAAATACAATCTGTTTTACTTTGTATTATACGTTCACAATTTATTCACAGAACGTCATTAGTAAAAGTAATATACATAAATCGTTACCCAATGTCACAAAATGTCTGGTTGTCATGGGGTCAACACACATCGCTCCGCCACAGGCTGTTGGACAGCAGATTTGTGTTGTGTTACAGGGATGTGTGAGTCCACAAGATGCGTCGCAAATATCCACAGATAAAGTCGGGGGACACGATCCCTTCTCCGCTGACGATACCGCCGTCACTGTATTCGATTTTTTTTTTATTAACAAGTGTAGAAATTAAAGTCCTTTAACCAGTCATGATAAATGTTTGCATATATTTTCATATCCCTTTTTTCTGTTACACTAGTTAAAGAATATAATATTTTATGACCGAGTGATATAACTTTTAGATTAATATCCGACTGCTTATATTAAATTTCAAATTGGCCTCCAATTTATAGTTTACACTTATACACACTTCGGAAGATAATATCAAACTCACTCGGTGAAAAAAAATACTCACAAAAAACCTTACATTATATAAAAGATAGTTTGCAATACAACACAATATAACTCACCGAATAGAATGAAATAAAGCCGTAACATCTCGTAACATGTATTCACAGTCATGTACAACACTCGTTTGATAATTATTAAGCGTCTCGATAGATATCGTGACCCGACCTCTGGTTTATCTTTAAGCCGAAATTAATCTTAACGTCTAGTTTTTCAAATGTTATATACATTTAATGTTTAAGTATTTTTGATCTATATTTCATTATGGAGGCAGTGTTTGTACATATAATTTATAAGAAATATATTCTATAACATTATATTCGTGCGTGAATATCAAACCAGAATTCTCATACGCCGTAGGGTAAGACGAAAAATATGACTCTTGTCCTATTTGTAGAAATCCATTTTCACCACGACACGGTAATGTTCTTATAAGGGATGTAAGTATGAGTGTCAAATATTTCTTTTACATTACTTTCGTTCACACTTCATAGATTTAGATGGATTTGGTTTCAGTTTGAAACAGGATTAGAATATAAATGTACAGGAAAAAAAAGTAGATAGGGTTCCATTGCATTGCTGGTAATACATATTTTAAAATTATGACGAACCCAAAGTTTGAATGGAACATTTATTCTAACGATGTTCAAAATGATATTTTTTTCAAGATTAAGCCAATGACCTTACTCGGTCTGAGAAACAGAATATTTAAACATGAACAGCTTGAGGCGATAACAACTTTACTTTAACACGATAAAACGCCGGTAAACATTTTTCCAATACTTATTGCGGAAACTCATCAGGTCGGTAGACGGCTGACAGAGATTTTTATTCACACAGTTTTTCTCTAGTTTTAAGATTTTTTAACGAATTTACGGAAACAGTATTTTCTTTACAAAGTAAGAATGTTTCAAACAATCGGTGGAGCTTCCAAAATGTACTTGTTAAATGATATAAAGGATACGTTTTAAATAATACAAAGATATGCCTTAAATTTATTTCAAGAATGTTTTAATTATATTTGATACAGTTTATTTAAAATAAATATAGTCGTACGTAGAGGTTATCTTGAGGCCTTGACTATCTGACTGTGACCTAAATTATTAGAAATTCTCATAATCGCAGTGCCTTCAAGTAAACATATTATTTACATTAATATCAGCTGGTGATGATTAAAATAAAAAAACGAATTAACTATTAAAATAATCCGCAATAATCAAATAATAATACAAAAAAGTTTACTCATTTAGACTCTTGTAGACTTGCAACGTTTGTTAATCTTTTTATTATTTCCTAAGAGCTTTTCAGCTATCCAATTAAATATGTTTCTATTTATAATCACAGAAAAAACAATCTCACTGCATCCATTTACGCAAACTATTTATAACAGTTTTTTCCTCTATAACAATATTGTGTTACTCCAAAGCAGTTTTCATTGAAAAGCCAACAGTACTTTACTAAGTTGTTCAGATTGATATATGTAATGAAAATCTATTATGCCTTGTTAATATATTTCCTAAATTAAAAATATTGATTCTATTAAATATTTAGTCATGAAATATGTACAAATATTGTAAATAACGTTCTATTTCTTTTGAGTCTTGCATATTTTGACGGCCTTTTTCTTGTTCATATCTATGATTATTTCTACAACTGTACTTTATGTCTCACTTCTGAGTCGTTAAGAGCTAAAAAATTACAGTCATTATTACAGCAATTTACGCTGAAACCTCAACATTTCCGTTGTATTCGTATAACTTCTCCTTTAATTTATTGTATCAAAAAGAAACTCAAATATTTACAGCTATCATAAAACAGAGCATATTACTTTGCTCCTAAACAAAAAAATAAATTAATAAAAAAGTAAGATAAAGAAATATTTCCTAAGACTCTTTGCAAAATTATAATGATTACAGAATGGCTGAAGTTAAACATTAGATATGTAATTTCATATGTAAAGTTATCTCAATGTACTCTAAAGTGTTTCTCTGGTTTATATCAGCTATCCAAATCTCGAGCACTATTGTACTGGGTATGATTACTACTCAAACTTACCAAGAACTAAGTAAATGTTACATCAACGAACATGAACATCTACACAATATGTATGTTATACTTTAATACGCTTCCAATTATACATATATCACTCAATATAATATATTCTTATGTTCCAGTTTTTCTAATTTACAGTGTCTTAGTTACAGTCTTTAATTCAAAATTAATTTTAAAGCTAGTTGGACGTTTGAAACAACAAAAACAGTAAGACGCTAGATGCACCTAATTTTAAATATTTTACGATTATTACGTTTGTTTAATGTGTATAATCTAAAATATCTAAATCGTAAAAGTTATAGGATAAAATTATTGTCATCAAGAATGTTTAATTTAAAAAAAATCAATATTATTAAAGTAAGTTATAAGTTCACAAGATTACTAAATGTTAGTGCTAATAATTGGAAGAAAAAGTCTCTTTTTTTATCTTTTTCTCCACATTTATCTTTGGAAGGAGAGTAAATGTATATTAGACATATAAATGAAGAGAAATCTTAAAGAATGCCGTAGATCTTTGTAAACAGATCCTAACTAATAGTCTAAATGAGACGCCTGAGAATTAAATATTTTTTGACATTTCTACACCGTTCTGGCCAATGAACTCTATTCCCCTACGGTACATATAAGTCCAGACACATGCTAATTAGGGTCCACAACTAAGAGTAAACAAAAAACATTTTACTTTCATCCCAAAATGAGTGGTTTTGTAATTGTTTGAATCAAACATTTATTTTTAACGGCAGTATATTACGAAAAGGAAAAGAAACTTTGCTTACATAATATATGCAGTAAATTCAAAATTTACAAGTACCTACAGTGATTCTAAAGAATATTAGTAAAAATAGGTCTCATAGATTTTTGTATGTGAGTTTATTGTTACATCGAATACTTAAAGTGACCTTTTAAATGACCTTTAATTTTTTGGCCAGTTTTTTATTTCTTATTTACATCGTTAAATAACTTCAATATAAAAGAAAGTCAAAACACGAATGTGTGATCATAAATTTTTCCACGCCACACGTCATTACAGTTTCAGTCAGACTTTTCACTTTTCATTTAAGTTTCATCTTCGTTATGAAAAATTAACACCTATATTTTTATAGTCTATTCTTTTATCTAAACGTCGGGAGTATGTAGTTAAAATAATAAAAACGAGTAATAAATCCGAAGATATTAGTTTTATTTATAGGAATACTCGCAAAAGTCTTATTATCTCATTATTTTATCATTATAGTATTTCTGCGATATCAAACAGGCAAATATTATTTATGTGCTACTTTGAGTGTGACAGCTTCTCGGTTATTTATTTTTTATATTCAGATCAGTATCAAGACATTTATTAATTAATTATGAATGAAAAATACATTATTAATTTAATATAGCTTAAATTTCGTGAATTGCTTTGGTAACGTTATAAAAAAAATGTGCTAATAATATGGAGTGATAATATGCAGTTTGTGAACCGACGGGTTTCTGGGAAATCTGTTTTTATTAAAACTTTTTGTTTTATATTTAATTAAAATAGATAAATTGAACAAATAAAAAAATATTTTAAACAAATAGATATGTATACATATACACATACATTTATATTTTACACAATAGACACATTTACATTTGTACCTAGCATTTCACTGAATATAAATTGCATATAAGATAATAACACAAGTTACAGACCCATACACATATACATATGTATAATACTTTTCAAAATCTTGCACTCTATTCTTTTTCATTCTTTACTACTCGTAAAATAGTAGAAGCTATGGCAACCAATGAAATAGAACGAAAAGGGAATGCTAAATCTAGTAACATTACATCCAGAACAAGTTACAGTCAATAGAGGACGGGTAGAGTTTACAAACATTTTAAATTTATTAAGTAACATGTAATATAAATTTAAAAAGATCTTAGCTGTCTGGTGTCATTTATTTAAAACCATACATCAAAAAAACAGTACTAGGTCAGTGCATACAGTCATTAGGATAATTACAAAAAATGTTTTAGAATAATTAACTCACTGAGTGATATGACATGACTATTCCTCCATTTTGTTTATTTAAAAATGAGTTTTTAAAATATGTACTAAAACTGAATCTTATGGTTCACGCCTAACATGAGTCATTTTATGGAAAGTCTAATTTGGTTTCAATTTCATTTAAAAGTAATCATAAAACATAAAAATAATATAAAAATAGTAGTTAAAAGTATGTTTTTATTCTAAGTTGGTGACAGGCTTACATCCCGTCTGTACTTAAGTTATCACTGTAGCTTGTGGGACCGTGCAATACAAAAGTATCATTAACGCGTGGTCAACCTACTTTTTTGTTTCAACGTATTCGTTCTAAAACCCCAAAACGAAATTCGCAAAACACCAGAGTTCCAAAATGTTTTGAATATTTTACAGAAGTTGTGAAAGGGAATCGATTACAAACAAAGTCAGAGAATACGAGAAGATTTGATGTGAGATAGATATCAATATTAATTATTCACTCAAGTAAAGTCAGTGGTGGCCTAATGGTTAGAGGGCCCGCCTCTCGTTGCCGTCGGCGCGGGTTCAATCCTGACCCGGGCAAGTACCAATGTGATTTTTCCGAGTCATATGTGCTTTCTAAGAATAGTTAGACATCACTGATTAATGCTTATTCCCAAAAGAGGGTGTTGATATCAGGCAGGCGGCCGGCCGTAAAAAACAATTAGCCAACACTATTCACAACATG